TTGGCTGTGCTGGGTCTTTGTTGCTGTGTGCGGGCTTTCTCTAGTTGCAGCGAGCAGGGGCTGCGCTTTGTTGTGGTGCATGGGCTCAGTGCCGTGGTTTCTGTTGTGGAGCACGGGCTCTAGGTGTGCAGGCTTCAGTAATTGTGGCACGCGGGCTCAGTAGTTGTGGCCCACGGGCTTAGTTGCTCCGTGGCATGTGGGATCTTCCCAGACCAGGGCTCGAACTGTGTTCCCTGCATTGGCAGGCAGATTCTTAACCACTGCGCCACCAGGGAAATCCCTAAGTCTGTTTTTAAGATTTCAGTTTCACATTGTTTATTGCTGGTATGTAGAAATACAATTGATTATTATATCTTGAGCTTATATCCTGCTACTCTCTTCACTCGTTAGTTTTAGTAGCTTTTTTGCATCTTCCTTAAGCTTTTTCATGTAGACGATCAGGTTGTCTGTGAATAGAGGTATGTTACTGAGTGCAAGTTCACGTCCCCGACACACAGTGAGGCCAGTCAAGCAGAAACGTCGAGTTTGAGAAACCTTTCAAGTAGAGAAAGGTTTATTGCAGGGCTGAGCAAGGAGAACGGGTGGCTCAAGCTCAAAAAACCCCCAAACTCCCTGAGAAATTTCAGCAATGCATTTTTTTAAGGAAAGGTAAGGAAGGGGCATCCCAGGGTATGTGATCAGCTCATGCACAGTTCTCTGATGGGTTGATGATGAGCACTCCTTAGGCGGCAGAAGGTCTGGAGGCTACCTGCTCATGATCATCAGGTGGTTAATTTCTAACACTTGTTGGTGGTTTTAGCATCTGAAAAGCTCAGGAAGTATGCATGAGATACTATTATCTGGTACTTCAGAGAGGAGCTGCTGCAGAGGATATGGGGGAGGGGTCTGTCTTGGGAAGGCCCCATAGGCTCTTGCTCGGCTATGGATAGTTCTTCTTACTTTCCAGTCTGGATACCTTTTTATTTATTTATTTTGTCTGATTGTGCTGACTAGAGCTTCCAGGCCAGTGTTGAATAGAAGTAGGGAGAGCAGGCATACTTACCTTGTTCCTGATCTTAGGTGGGGAAAGCATTCAGTCTTTCACCATTAGGACTGATGTTACCTGTAGATTTTTCATAGGTGTCCTTCTAGTCCTGCTTTGTTGAGAATTTTCATTGGGAATGCATGTTGGATATCGTGAAATGTTTTTTGTGTGTCTGTTGATCTGCTATATAGTTTTTCTTTTTTTTAGTGTTAATTATGGTGAATTACATCTGTTGATTTTCTAATGTTAAACAAGTTTTCATTCTTGGAATAGACCCCACTTGGTCATGATGTATTTTCCTTTTTATATGTTGTTTAATTTGAAACATCACCATCAGAGGGCTAAGAAACTAGGGTCAGTGAAAGAAAATGTTACCTAATATTTTTTGCTAGAAAATAGAGACTTTGCTGAAAATTCTTCCAGACTGTTGTCTGAGAGAGAGTTCTGAACTTTCGATTTACTGTTCAAATTGAACCTGTTTTTTGCTCAGCAAGGAAAAGGGAGTCATCTTTATCTTGGCCAACAATTCCCCCAAAACAGCTAAGAAGGATAGTTTCAGAATTGTCTTCTTTGAAGCCTTATAAATGGTATAGGTAGAGCTTTAGTTATAGTTTTTTTGGGTGTGCTTGGGAGATAGGAGTCAGAGTGAACTTAAAAATTGCTTAACAATCCATTCTTGCTCTCATGTATTTGTAATCCAGTCTAACATTTACTTTTTAAGAATAAAAGGAAAACTTTGGGGACTTCCCTAGCAGTCCAGTGGTTGGGATTCTGCACTTTCACTGCCGAGGGCGTGGGTTGAATCCCTGGTCGGGGAGCTAAGATCTTGTAAGAGTTGTGGCACAGCCAAATTAAAAAAAGAAGAAAACTTTTAAGTGATAAATGCATGATTTTTATATTAAATAGTATAAGTAGTGAGGTATAATTGTATCAACCAAAGCCCTAAGTCAAGGTAGTCCTCAACTGCTGGACCCTAACTCGTTCTCTGCTTGATGCCATCAGCAGGGTCCTTCCGTGGCACTGCTGTTGTCCTGTGCTTCTGTACTGACTGATGGTGAAGAAGCTGAAGGAGGGGGCCTTGTCTAGTCTTTGGCTGGTCTTAGGATTCCTTTTGTGTGGACAGTGTTGTGGGCCACAGGGTATGCTCTGCTAATAGCCATCGTGGCATGTGTTGTTTGCTAATTTGAGGGAATTGGAGAAGAGTATCCGTTTTCTCTTAATTCCCTGGATGTTGAAGCGGTTGGTGTGGTCTGCCGTGGGGAGATGTGCTCCGCCCTCTGGCAGCCTGAGTGTTAGTTACTGTTCTTTGAGAAGAGATTGAAAAATGTTCGGAAAGACTGTCATTTCCTGTAGAAATCTGGGGGTTAGGATGTGACAATATATGGACTGCAGATTTGAAATTGTGTATGTCAGATTTTCAAAATAAAAATTAGGATATGTTTGGGACTTCCCTGGCAGTCCAGTGGTTAAGACTCCACACGTCCAATGCAGGGGGCGTGGGTTCAATCCCTGGTCCGGGAAATAAGATCCTGCATGCTGCGTGGCAAGGCCAAAAAAAAAACCCAGCTTAGGATATGTTTAGTGCTTTCAGTTGTTTTTATATTTGTGTTTAAGTTTTACTTTTATGCACCTCTTGTTAGTTGGCCTATTTTCTGGCACAATATTCTCAGTGTGAGGGCTCTTGAAATAACTGGACTAAGTAATTTCTTTTGTTCAACTTTCAGTCCCGTTGAGAAAAGGAACGGCTGTTCTTACGCTGTGATTACACTGGAAATAGTGCTTGTCTATCTTAGGTCACATGTACACACTCTGGCTGTTCAAGAATTCAAATCTGAAACATAAAATAGCGGTACAGGTTTCTTCTCTTTATGCACAATTAAATTAGTTTTAAATTTAGAAACCTTCATGTTAGCAATAATATGCAATTAAGTGGTAAGTAGCTTTCAATTAAACTATCAAGTGTTCCTGTTTAGTAAGACCAGGAAATGGTCTTCTGGGTATTAAAAATGGAGTGCGTTTCTTACTGGTGCACAGAGTGTGGTGGTCTTTGGAGTCAGACCCAGTTTGCAGCCCTGAACTGACTACTTACTATCTCTGAGACTTTTGCCCACTTCAGCAGTGTAGAAATAATAACACATGTTGTAAGAAACAGTAGACGTGTTTCCTAAATACTTTGTGCTGTGAAATGTGGCTAGTTCCTTGAAGAAATGGTTTTGTCAGCAGACCTGTCTGGAATTTGTAGCATCCTGTTTTCTTGGAGGTTCCCACTGTGTGTTAAGACACTGGGCTCTGAGAACCACTTTGGTCAAGAAATCTGCTTGCTTTGTTCAGCTAAGCATTTCCCAGGCAGAACTTCTCCCTTCTTCCTTCCCCGCCCCTGCTCCCTCCCCTTGTGGGAAGTCTGCAGCATGTTTCAGTTTACTTTTGTTTCATGGATCCTGGTTTTGAAAAGAAAGTGCCTAGCACAGTATCCCGAATTTTACTTGAATAATGATCGATTTCTTTTCGTCCTTTTCATTGTTAATTTGAATGATTTAAACACTGTTGTGAACTCAGAGCCCACTTCAGTTTTGGTTTAGCCTTGTATGTAAGTAATAAGCCATTTTCTCTTCCAGTTTTATTGAGATGGAATTGACTTAAGCACTGTGTGAGTTTAAGCAGTACAGCCTAACGACTTGACATCTATATATTGAGAAATGATTACCACAATAAGTTTAGTTAATACCCATTCATTCATTTAATAATTTGCTATATTTTATTCCTAATTTACTATTTCAGTTCATGTCTTTTGCCCAAATTGTTGTTATAGACTTTGATATTAAAATCCAGGAAAAGCAAGTGTGGTATGAGAGTAAGAATCATAGAAAGTTAGTATCTGGTCAAATTCCTGCTTTACTAATTCAACACAGTTTAAATATTCATCAGCATTCATAATACTTCTTGAACTGCTACTCCTGGCCCTCTGTTAGATATAGTGGAGGATGTGATTTAGATGCTTCCTGCTTTGAGCCTCTCAACACTAGGCACGAAACATCCATGTCTTTCTTGAGTGATTTGTAAGAATTCTGCAGATGTAAAAAGTGAGAACATTTTTGCAATAAGTAGAGCAGTAGATGTTAAAGAATGAAATGTAGAAAAGTATTTTTTAAGGAAATAATTGGAAGAGATATAGAACGAATAAAGTAAAATAGAGATAAAAAGAATAAAAGAGTAATTTTATATCCAGAGATGTTTGCTGCTAACATCTTATCTCCCCAGACTTTTTCTTGTGTGTTTCACAAAAAATGGTATCATATTACGCATGCTACTTTGTACCCTGCTTATTTTGTTGATGATGTCAAGTGAAGGTCTTTTAGATGCCTGTGAACCGTCCTTACCTCCCCAAGGGTCAACCTTAACACTGGGTGCTCTCTCTTGCTCTCCAACCTGTTTCCTGGCAGGAGCTTTAGGCTGAGGAAGAGTGGTGAGGGCAGCAAGTTTTTTTGGTGGGTAAAGTGTCATATATTATATAATTCCTTGTTGGCTATGCATAAGCTCTTGGTGTATGCACGGCTCTGCGGAGTCCACATCCTTTGTTTCGGTGAGTTGTGTTATACTGACCCCGAAAGATTTGCATTTAACTTGTTGCTTAGAAGAAAAGAGATTGTTTAGAAATGTCAAGAGCTAGAATATACATATTATGTACAGCTAGACTTACAGATAAAACCTCCAGTTATTGTTACAGCGTGCTGGGTGGTTCATTGCTTTTCTAAGTTAAATTAAAAAAAAAAAAAGCCTAAAAGAAAGACATAGGGGGCATTTTTCTCTTGATGAAAGGTAGTCTTGAAAAAATGTTGTATTATTAAATGTTTTTAAATCTGATTTTATTATTTAGAGTTTTATTTAATGGTATCAGGAACTGACAAGGAAGAACGAGTTTCCATTACTAGTTTTCTGAAATTTAATTTTCTTCTTTCTTTCTTTTAAATAATAAAAGGTGGCTATCATCCAGTGAAAATTGGAGACCTCTTCAATGGCCGGTATCATGTTATTAGGAAGCTAGGATGGGGACACTTCTCTACTGTCTGGCTGTGCTGGGATATGCAGTAAGTGTTCCTTGTCATTCGTGCTTTTGATTCCTGGTCTGGTTCAACATCTTTATTTTACAACAAGCTAAGGCTGAGGAGCACACCTGCTTCTGTTGTGGCATGTAAAGCGCACAGCACAGGCCTGCCCCACCCCAGACTTGCCCCTCTCACTTTGAAGTTCATTTGCCTGTCATCTTTAAATATTACTTTTCTTCTGCCTTTATATCTGAGGCTTATTCATTGTAATTGCGCTACACTCGGGTCATATTGTTTTTCTAGTAATTCATCCATACCAGAAAAACATTCAAATATAAAATAATAATGTTTAGGCCTTTCCAGTCAGTGGTTTTCGACTCTTTTCGAAAGCCATGACCCATAATATGAAACTGCATCCTTAGAGTACACGTACACATGTGTAGTGTGTGTGTGAATTGAAACAAAAGTGTTATAATACTTGATCTTAACCATATGTGATGAACTCTGACATCTATCTAGTCTACTTGATTTTTATGAGGACAAAACAGAAACACAAAGCAAAGAAGAGATTGATACATGAACCCACTGCTTTACTGTAACCCCGCAATTTGAAAAGTACTATTTTAAAGGAAAGCTTATTGAAAGTCGCTATTTATTGGAGTTTATTAGAGTTCATTATGATGTCTAGTTTATTAGTCTAGTTTATTAGAGTTATTATAAATGATCATTTCTGTTAAAATTTTTTTAAATGCATTTTTTTTTTAAGGGGAAAAAGATTTGTTGCAATGAAAGTTGTAAAAAGTGCCCAGCATTATACAGAGACAGCCTTGGATGAAATAAAATTGCTCAAATGTGTAAGTACTACAAAAATGTGAATGATATCAGAAAGGTTAATGATGAAATTTCACGGAGGGATTTTTCTGGGTTTTACTAAATTAATTGAAATTATTTGTAAGTTCAAATACTGAATCTTTTATTTTTTACAACATTTATTAAACAGCTTTGGTTGGTACAATGGAAATGACTTTCAGTCTTAAACACTTCTGTTCTTGAATTCATTTTTCTCTCTATAGGTTCGAGAAAGTGATCCCACTGACCCAAATAAAGACATGGTGGTACAGCTAATCGATGACTTCAAAATTTCAGGCATGAATGGAATACGTATCCTTTCTGATGATTGTGTTGCTTCCTAATGGCTGAATTATACTCGAGTGTTTCTTTTTACTTTTAAAAAGTGGAAATATTTTAAGCCCTATACACTTGTGTTTGCTGTTTCACTCTCCACGTGCAGCCTCTAGCGTCTTCGTGTTATATGATTCTTGAAAGATGAAAGTTTCTTAGTTATAAGGTGAATTGTTCCTTTTGCTTTTTGAATAGGGAGGCCTTAGTTCTGATTCTGGAAAAGAAGTGTGTCTTAACAAGTGGAGCAAGGGCATCTCATGACCTCCCTTTCTCTTTTGAGGATGTCAGTTTTAATTGGGCTGCTGTTAATATTGTTTGCATGGTTAGTAGTTTTGGGGGAGGGAGGGCTCAGGAGGAAGTGAATGGGGGTAGTGTGGAAGGAGCTCTTATCTTTACCCTCCTTCTGCCCAGGGCATTGGTAAAGGACAGCCCCAGGGGTCGCAGTGACAGCAGAATAACGTGTAGCTCAGAGCTTTTGGCACAAGCGGAGAGAAGAGATAATGCCTTTAGTTTCCAGAATGCTGTTTCCATATTTTGGTATTCGATCCTCTGAGATAGCCCTGTATGGGCCTGATCTAAGCAATACCTTCATTCCCCAAGGTTCAGGAATACCGAGCCGTGTATTCATTATCTTGTGACTGGTGAGTGCCGGGTGTGTGTCAAGAGCCAGGCTCTTCTCCTCCTTCCTGATCTTTTATTCTTTCCTTTATCATGTTTGGAACAGATCCAACATTTTGATATTTGACCTGTTCAAGCTCCAGAACCTGAGGACAAAGCCTTCTCCCAGCTTACACCCCAGAATGACAGCCTGTTTCTGCATCTACTAAGACTTAATCCCATAGGGAAGCACTTTCTTCACACCCTATGTATTTGAGGAGTTTTTTATATTTCTTCTAGAGATCAGATTTGAGGATACTAACAAGTTCTGGTGACTGCTGATGTTACCTCACCCTTTGCCTCAAGATCCTTTCTGCTAGCTGCAAAGTACATTTTCCCCTCTTGATCGATAGAAAGATAGAGCTGGTCCTTCTCTGCGCCTGGTCTCCAAGTGAGCCTGTTTGTTTATGTGCAGGCAGGGTAGCCCTTCCTCTTGCATCAGATCTGGGAGGCAGTTCTTAAGACAGCTGATAGAGGGTTTCTTTGGAGAAAACACCTGATTTGTAGGTAAATGGAGGGATTTTTTTTTGATATATATTGAATACGTTCCAGTGGCTCTTTCTACTGTTAAGTAGTCCAGATTTGTCAATGCTTTGAGAACACTCAGGTCATAATTTAGAAGCCTTGGGCTTCGGCTCTATGCCTGCTACTAACTTTAGACCTTAGTTGCCGTTTTTTTAATGAGCTTGGGAAATAGTAAGGAACTTCTAGCTTTAGATCATCTATGCCTAAGTCTGTAGCACATACGCTGTCCAGTGTCATAGAAATATTTTTCTTATTTTTATTAAAGATATTTAAAGCAATAGTTACTATGATGATGTGGTAGATCCAGGTATTGTAAAAAACATTAACTCATCTGACCTTCTTATAGGCCTGTATATAGGTCTCCAGGGCTGAACAAAATATTCTCAAAGGGTTTCAGAGCCATTTAAAATCTTTCTATATGAATGACATGAATATATTTATATGAGGGAATTTGGTGGCTCACAGTTCTGGAGGGTCAGTGGTTGACTAGAATTTCTATTAAAAAACAAAACAAAACAAAACCCAGATTCCTGAGATTTCATTATTATAGGTTGGTCTTAATGGCCATGCCATGTCTTGTGATCATACATCCTTAAAAACTTAAAAATTGATCTAGTGACCCAGTGAAAGATACTGTTGAAGGAAAAGATTAAATGTCTTCACTGTGTTTGGTAAACTTCTGTTTTATAAAGTGTTTTATGTGACGTATAGGATAGAAATTTAGGTAGGCAGGCAGGACACTTAAGGCGGGAGAGTTCTCTATTCTCTTCCTCATCAGTTTCTGTGAGGTTTCAGTCCTGCTCATTTTCGTTAAGGCTGATTGTCAGAAGAAGTGTGCTTGAGAGCGTGGGTAAGTGTGGGGTTGAGTCATGACTCTGCCACCTTTGGGTGGTGTCAGGCAGGAGGGTTCTTTAAACTCCCCGAGGTTTACTCTCCTCATTCCTTATGTTGTTATGAGTACACATTAAATCATGTATGGCACATGGTAGGTACTTAGTATGTGTTAGATCTTTCTATTTAGGTGAGGAACAGCAAATGACCACTTTTGGTATTATTGGTAGTATTGAAGTTGTATTTTATAAAGAAATAATTGTTTTGCCAAGTGCCACAGTGATGCTGCTTTTAGTAATTCCGTCACTGCAGGAAATGTATCCAGAAATGATCCTTAACCCTGTCCCAGATGTCTGCATGGTCTTTGAAGTGCTTGGCCACCATCTCCTCAAGTGGATCATAAAATCCAACTACCAAGGCCTCCCAGTACGTTGTGTGAAGAGCATTATTCGACAGGTGAGGCTTATGATGGCAGCCCCCAGCTCCCAATACCTAACTGACTAGCCTTTCAACACGAATTCCTGTCTTAAAAAAAAACAAACAAAAAAAAGCATGCACGGGCTTCCCTGGTGGCGCAGTGGTTGAGAGTCCACCTGCCGATGCAGGGGACACGGGTTCGTGCCCCGGTCCGGGAAGATCCCACATGCCGCGGAGCGACTGGGCCCGTGAGCCATGGCCGCTGAACCTGCGCGTCCGGAGCCTGTGCTCCGCAACGGGAGAGGCCACAACAGTGAGAGGCCCGCGTACCGCCAAAAAAACAAAAACAAAAACAAAACAAAAAAAGCATGCGCAAACACATATATATCTCTCTCTCCAGTTTTAGAAATAAATACATATATCACAGTGCATAACATTTTGAACTTATTAAATCAATTTTGTATTTAGTTAACGATAAGCCATTCTGTCTTGTAAAGGGAGTAATATGTAAATGTCAAGCATATATTTCTTTTGGCATATGGATCTTTTTTCAGGTAAGTGATACAGTAAAATGAGAAATTGTTTTATCCAGTATCATTACTATGAAATGTCCCACTTAGTTCCTTAGAAAATAATACAGAAGAAAACATATAATGTATTGTGTTTATTTGCTATTTCTGAGTATTTGGATGAAGGATAAATGGAAGGTAATTTAAGGCATGTTTAAGTTATATATGGAGTACTGTGTGTGTACTTCGTTCAATTGCCTTGACAACAGAAAACCTGCCGTTAGTGTGTGGTTCGGTGTTGATGCTGCAGCAGATACTTATAGAATGGAAGTATACACATATGGAAGATTTCCTTCTAATTAGAAATGTTTACCAGATTCAGTTTTCTGCATGGAACATACCAGTCTTTGACTCATTGCCCTTAGAGCCTAAATTAGGAAAGTTGCAGATACGCTTTATTCTGGATTACCTATTCTGATATAATGGATAATTACCATGCATATTTCTGCAGAGTAAGTAATATCAGGGAGGTTGCTTGGTTTGCTTGAGAAGAGGACTAGTTGGTTTGGAGCCCATTCCTTGTCCCCAGGCCCAGAGATTGAGGTAGACCTGCCTGGGGGTTCTAGACCTGAAATACAGACCTTGATCCATAATTCCTTTTTTTTTTTTTTTTTTAATATTTATGTATTTATTTGGCTGCATTGGGTCTTATCTGCCGCACGCAGGATCTTTTGATGCGGCGAGCAGGCTTCTCTAGTTGTGGCATGCGAACTCTTAGTTGAACCACTGGAATAGAGGAAAGTGTAATGAGCACACTTAAATCTTGGCAATAGACTTAATTTCACATTCTAACTTTGGCACTTACTACTTTGTGACCCTGATCAAATTACTTAATTTCTGTAAGCCTGTGTCCGCATTTGTCGCATCAGGACGATAATGCATAATTTGTGGCTTTATTGTGCAGATGAGTTTGGAGGGACTGCTGATAAAGCTTTCAGCATGGTGACCAGCACAGAGTAGCCATCCTGTCTCCCCAGCTGCATACTCTGAGCACCGGGAGTCCCAGATCACATATTGTAGGTTTCACATCTCTTTGTAGCTTCCTTCACGTCGTAGGAAGTCAAGAAACGTTTCTGAGAGGTTAGCTTTCCCTAAATGAAAGAAGAAATGTATGTTCCTCTTATTCTTACTGTAGAAAGTGGCTGACCTTTCTGTGATCTGAAGGGTTTGTAGATAAAGGTTCCCACTTATTTTTGAAAAGTCGCAGCACAGTTGAATCACTTGCTTTTCCAGGGTTTCCTATACACTATTATCAATCTTTTGATCAGTTCTTAACTCTCCTTGTTTTGCCCTGGTGACCTTGTGCAGGGTCAGGAAGGGCCATGCTCTGGTTTCTGGTGATCGTGGTGAGGACACCCCCTTGCCTCCTCCAGGCTGCTTCTGTGGCCTCAGGCGTGGGGTGTATTTGCCCCCCAGCTTTCATTTCTTTTTCTTTTAACATCAGCTTTATTGAAGTGTATTTTATGTTTAGCTTTTATTTCTAAAGCCGAAAGAAGAAAAAGGGTGCTGTGTTGTCAGTGTTTGTTATTTGTGGTGCATTCAAGGTGTACCACAGGCGATGGGGTTTGAAAATGCTGTTGCTGTTCTTTATATTTTTTTAATTAATTAACTTATTTATTTTTGGCTGCGTTGGGTCTTCGTTGCTGCGCACAGGCTTTCTCTAGTTGGGCGAGCGGGGGCTACTCTTCGTTGCAGTGCACGGGCTTCTCATTGCGGTGGCTTCTCTTGTTGTGGAGCACGGGCTCTAGGCATGCAGACTTCATTAGTTGTGGCGCGAGGGCTCAGTAGTTGTGGCAGTGGGCTCAGTAGTTGTGGCTCATGGGCTCTAGAGCGCAGGCTCAGTAGTTGTGGCGCACGGGCTTAGTTGCTCTGCGACATGTGGGATCTTCCCAGACCAGGGCTCGAACCCGTGTCCCCTGCATTGGCAGGCGGATTCTTAACGACTGCGCCACCAGGGAAGTCCCTGTTGCTGTTCTTTAAACGTGGCTTTTATTGTCTTCTGTACTCGAAAGGGTAGCCGATATTTTACTTTTTAAAACCTTATGGTTTAATTCATTGCCCTGTCCAGAAACCTTGTGAAGAAGTGACTGCTTGCCGTTAAATGAAGCTTGGTAAGGGCAAGGCTCTGAATTTGGTGACTTTGCTACGATACGTAGGTACAGCGTGTAGCTCTGGATTTTTGAGTTATCATTAACTCTTTCTGTTATCATGCTTGTCACTAACATTTATTATGCTCTTTCAGGCATTCACAGTTTTAAGTGCTTCCTTTGTATTATGCTGTCTATTCCTCACCACAGCTTTGTGAGGCCAGAGGTGTTCTTACCTTCACTCTGAGGAAGGTGTTAAAAGTTTTCCACAGGCCCCCAGTTACTGTGGGGAATCAAGACTGGAATACAGGTGGTGCAATCCGGAATCCATGCTCTTGACTGCCGGGTAGTGTGAAATGTCTGCATAGGAAGACTGGGAAGCATTTTAAATGACAGCATGTCTTGTGAAGAGGATGCATTCATGTCTCTGTTTGTGGAAATGGTTTACTTCTACGTTTGTCTGCGTTTAGTATTTATTTACCATTTAAATGATCTCACTGGTCCTTTTGTCAATGAATGCATTATGATCAAGCCAGTATTGTTCAATTTTAGAATAGAAAATTAATTTTAAGTTGGTAAACATTTTTATGTTCTTGGATTTGATCAGTGTGGTAGTACATATGATTCTGTACTAACTTGGAATTCTCCTCCTCAAAATGTTGGGTATGCAGCTCAGAAATTCGGGGAAGTCGCTCCTTCAAGGGAGTTGAGCCCCTTTCCCAGCTCATTCCTCTGTGCTTCCTCAGCGCTGGGCGCAGTGTTTTATCTTTCATCCTGACGATGTTCACGAGTGAAGTACAGCTGCTGAATTTTCTCATTAGTTCTCACTAGTCAGAGTTAGAAAGAAGAAGGAGCAGAGGGCGATTTCGGGACAGAGCGGATGAGGACAGTGTCCCCTGGCTCTAGTCCTCTGTGAGTGAGGCAGGTATTCGCCACACTTCTCCATTCAGCCTGGCATGTGCTCGTCTGAGCAGCTTGTAGCATTTACCTCCTGTCTGTCCTAGCGAGGAAGAGAGATCCGGTGGGTGCCTTCACTTTCCAGTAGCAAAGCTTCTGGCTTGAGGAGAGCCCTCTGCTGTCTCGCTCCACCCCTGCAAGCATCAGTGTCTCGGAGCAGTGCTGCCGGTCTGGTTCCCCACCCCCACCCCACCCCCACCCCCCCGGCGCTGCGTCACAAGGCCTTGCCCCGTCTGCTCGCCCTGTGTCCTTTGTTAAGGTGCCCATGTTGTGACCAGAGTCAGGAGACACTGTGGACAGTTGCTGTCCTTGTGTTCCTCTGTGCATTTTAGAATTTGGGAGAAGCTCACTCTGGGTGGCCAGCAGGCCAGGGAGACACCTTCAAGTGAAACCTCCACATTAATTATTCCCAACTCCCTCCTTTTATGTCTGCGACAGGACCTATTTCTAGCACGCCGAGGTGGAGAAGAGCCAGTTTATGTTGTTAACACCATAACAGACAGTCTCTGACATGGTTCATAGGTGCCTAGAAGAAACGTTAGAGACTGTGCTGACCAAGCCCTTGTTTTCTGGCTGAATTTGAGGTCAGGGAAGGGGAGCCATAGCTAGTCAGTTCCTGAACCAGAGCACAGACTCTGCCTCCAGGTCTGCACTGCTGCTGACTCACATGCAGAAAACGGGCCCCGCCCCGGGGTGTGATCTCCGTCCCCTAAGTGGGATGCAGCCCCGTCAGGGACCCCTCTGTGGCGACGCTGATCGCGGACTCCTGGTCAAGCGGATGGCAGCCCGGGGTCTCTGCAGCCTGTGCTGCCTCCTGCTGGTGAGGCTAAGTATGGTTTGTAGGCAAGAGAGACACACTGTGATGAGACAAGTGAGGCAACAGAGGTCTGTCCTGGGGCATGAAGCTTGCTTGATTCATTGATTTTTTTTTTCACGATCATAATTATTCAGTGTAAATGGTTGTAAGATTGCCCATCATTGTTGTCGGATTCTGGATTCTGGGGTGCTTAATTGCTTTAAGTTCACTGGCTGTGAACAGAAATACTGTTTTTGAAAATAAACCATTCTTCTTATAGCTAAAGATTTTTTAAAAAATATATTAGTCTAGGATTAAAAGGATCAGAGTTTTATCAGGTAGAGCCCATTCATATTATAGATGGGAGAAATGAGACCCAGAGGAATTTAATAAGTGACTTAGAAATTTAATAAGTTATGGTTATTAAGTCAGTGTCAATACAAGTCTTCTGACTTAGTTCATTTCTACCATTTAGTTTGAATTTCCTGTGAGCTAGACCGTGTATTTGTGAGTTTTCCATACATTATTTCTAATTCTTACCATATTTCTGTCTAATGGATATGTTCCCCCTTTTATAGATATGAAAATGGAAGCTCAGGCAGCTTAAGTACCTTGCCTAGGGAATGAGTGATTGAGCAGTAATACTGGAGTGGTCTGAGTCCCAAGGTCGTGATTTAACAGTGCGCCATGCTGTCTCTTAACTGTTTCCTTTAAGATTTGTGTTATCTTAATTGACTTAATTTATCCCGGTGATAGTCTGTTCCTTATGTTCATTGTCAGACACAAGCTGTGCTTCTTGAGGAAGGTTAACCCAGTTGAGTGCAACAGCCAGTATTAAAAATATGGAACCTTAAATTCTTACTGAAGACACTTTGCTCCTCTCAAGTGCCTCATTGTCATTGGAATTCATTTAACACCTTTGGATACTGGATCACGTTAACTCTTACCTGAGTAGCTTCTCACACAGTAAAACAACCTAAGAACTATGAAAGAACTAAGGTGGAAAGTTAGGAGCAACTTGTGCATGGGTGGTGGTGAAAAGATATTTTTGGAAAGATGCTGACATTTTAACTTTGAGTTAATATTTGATGATAGAAATGAAGTTTCAGTTGGAATAATTTAAAACAGTTTAAAGTTTCTAAAAACTCTTAATTCCTTTTACTCCCGCAGGCTGGAAGTCATCAGTGTACCTGTCCATTAATTTCTTGTACTTCTCATAATTTCTCTTGTTATTCAGATATAAAAACTCCACATGATATTTCAGTTTGTTGAGAGAAGATACGTGAATGCCAGTGAATAACATACAGGCTCGTTGGATTGTGTTCCCTTCAGGATTATAACCTTATTCTCTATGGAAATATATAATGATCTCTTTCTTCCTATTGGTTCTTTGACATTTTAAACATAATTTAAATATATTCTAATCGAAGTATTATCTAAAACATTCAATATTAATTCTAAGGTAAAAAGTCAAGGCCCAATGGAGACAGGGAACTTCTATTGCTATGTGTCAAACATCTAGAAGGGTGTATGGTCTGTTACAGGAGCTCAACTGTTGTTCAGTCAGTGAAGTCATGTAAAAGTATTTCCAAGGAAAAGTTTTTTTAGATATGTGTGGGGATTTTCATCTTGTTTAAGAGATAGGTCTCCCTTTCATTTTCTTCTGAAACCTCTTTCCCTTGACTTACTAATGTTTTGTCGTCTGTTAAGATTGTTTAGCCAGGAACTCAAGGTAGACAGGAGCATTGGGTTTTTTGCTGAGAACTTGTCAGAGCTGATTGATATTATATATCTTTGGCTTGTCTTTTTCTCACTTCCTTGTCTAGTGTCGTCAAGGCCCCTAAATGACTTAAAATGTTTGAATGAGGATGTTTATCAAATGTTAATGTTTATTGAGCTTGTAGAGTTTCTGATGTATGGGAACATGAACTGTATTTTTAAAATATTTTTTTCCTTATGGAAAGAATTGCAACAATTCCCCTCTAATGGAAATCATTCCAGAAAAACTTTGGCCTTGCATTTAGGTCACCATACTCTGTAATTTTTGTGATATATATGATATGTAAATGATATATATAATAAGTACATGAGTATCTTGGCTTAGCATTTTCTTTTAGTTCAGTGCTATAGTGTTGCCTGGATACCAGGGCTATTTAATCCTCCTTTCCTGCAGTATTAAAAATGTACACACATCATTAGCCATTATGGGAATGCAGATCAATGAGATACACACTTCACACCCAGTAGGGTGACTAAAATAAAAAGACAAGTATTGGCCATGATGAAAAAATTGGAATCCTCGCACGTTGCTGATTGGAGTGTAAAATGGTGCAGCCATAGTATAAAACAGTTTGGCAGCTCATTGAAAGGCTAAATATAGAGCTACCGTATGACCCAACGACTGCACTCCTAGGCATATATACCCAAGAAAAATAAAAAACATATGTCCACACAAAAACTTGTACATGAATGTTCATAGCAATATTATTTATAATAGCCATAAAATGGAAACAACTCAGATATTCATCAAGTGAATGAAATGTGGTATTTTCAATGGAATATTATTTGGCATTTAAAGAAATGCGGTATTGATACATGCTACCCTTGGATGGACCTTGAAAGTACTGTGCCAGTTACAAAAGACCACTCTGTATCATTCCACTTATATAAAATGTCCAGACCCAGCAAAGTAGATTAGCGGTTGCCTAGGGCTGGAGGAGTTGGGAGGAGAGGGGGAGTGACAGCTAATGGGTGTACAGTGTTTTCTTCTTTGTGTGATGAAAATGTTCTAAATTAGATAGTGGTGAGGGCTGTACATCTAGAAACCATTGAATGGTACCTTTAAAAGGGTGAATTGTGTGACATGTAAATTATACCTCACTGAAGTTGTTATTTAAAAGAGTATATGTATAGATGCATTTGCTTCCATGAGCATAAATTATCTCCAGGATGATACACATTGCTTGCTTCTGGGAAAGAGCTGGGTTCCTCTGGGGGCCGGGGTGGGAGGAAGATTTTTACTAAAACCCTTTGTATCCATTGTATTTTGTACCTTGTAATGATTTTAACTATTTTACAAACAAATGTTAAATAATAAAGGTATTAATAAGTCATCTCCTCTCTTGATTTCACGTGATCAGGTCCTTCAGGGGTTAGATTATCTACACAGTAAGTGCAAGATCATTCATACTGACATAAAGCCGGAAAACATCTTGATGTGCGTGGACGATGCATATGTGAGAAGGATGGCAGCCGAGGCCACCGAGTGGCAGAAAGCGGGCGCTCCTCCTCCTTCGGGGTCTGCAGGTGAGGGCTGAGCCAGCTTTGTTTCAGTCTGTGCGGGGCATTGAGAGCCTGCCAGGTTGTACACTGGGGGCAGTTGAGTCAGATGTGTATGTATTAGGGGCTTTTGTAAGAGCCTGATGACTAGAAGCAGCTAGACCTTTTTCTTAAGCAGGAGGATGCCCCAGTTAAGTTATACTTTGATGTTTGAATTACTTTGTCCTCCCTTAAAAGGTCATTGAACTCTTACCTGCTGCTTCATCTCCTTGGAACACTGTCCTGTGTTGCCCACTTCTCTGCAGAGGACTGTCTCTTATAGCAAGAGGTCTCATGTAGCTGACGTTCAGTCGTCAGAGTGCTTCCTTGACTCCAGTGAGCACAGCTACATCAATCTGAGTCTAGCTGGTGGATTTAGAATTAGTTTCAAAAGACTTCAGGGTGGGAGAAGACCAGCTGACTTGAGTATTGGTGTATGTAGTTTAATTTCTGGTTTTCGCAGTGTCGTGGTGGCAGTGAAGTGTGGACGGTGCTTTCACCCTCTCTTCACGTGCTGTCTGCCCTAGTGTGTTGTCAGGCAGGCACGAGGACTGCAGGGCAAAAGCCCTCTGTCTGCCTGGGGCTCTTGGGACATGCACCACTTCTGAATCTCGTTTTCTAACATCAGGGTGTTTTTTAGATCACGGAACCATAGTCTATCAAGCTTCTGACACTGGCCAAGTCTGTTCATGTGATTTCTGGAATATTTGCCGCAGTATTGGACTTAACTTTAGTTGTATAAACTTGTGAAATAGTTTTCAAACATAGTTGTGTAAGTGAATTGTTCATTTCATTGTCTTTAAACAAATTTGGTTGGATGACTCTTCTCCATTTTCTTATCAGTCAGTGCTTTGGGATTGTCTGTTTTTGAAATGAATGCATATTTAATTTTAGATAAGTAAGAGAAATGACTCCATATGAACCACTGTGGCTTTGCCTTTTAAGAGCCAATCATTTGTTTGAGTTGGATAAACTTTAGGTCTCTCTGATTCAGAAGTTTTAATATTTAACAGTTGTTGAAGTTGCATAGCCATTAAAAGACAGTAGTTATTTCATTTTACAGTTCAGATTACCTACATAAAGGTAAGTATCTATTTTGCTCTAAATGTTCATTTTATTTTGTTTTGTTCTAGTGAGTACTGCTCCACAGCAAAAACCTGTAAGTACCTACACATATACTTATATTCATCTCCATGTCAAAAGTGACTATTCATTATTGAACTTTTCGAATTGTAACATTAGTTTTTGTTTCTTTCTGCAACAATTTTTCATTAAGGATTGTTCGGGGGAATTGGTTGTGCATTTTTTTGTTCCTTTCTCAATCACAGATGTTGTAATGTATTTTAATATAAAAGACAGTCATGTTTATAAATGCTGGGTATCCTTGATTATGTAAGACAATGTTTTGATAAGGTGAAGTGATTTTTGGAGTTGGGGGATAATTACAGCTGTCCCAAATTCTGTCTTTGTTTTCCTCATGCACTTTCTGGAGTGCTCTTGGCTGAGTCTGGTAAAATGTGAGGTTATAGAGATAGGGTTTTAAGAGTGATTGTTCCAAAAACACTTTATATTATTTCTGATCTGCCTCTAAGTTACCTGTTTTTCTGAAGCTGCTGTTGTGATTTTTTTACTTCCAGGTAGTAGTTAAATATGAAAGAGTATTATCTTTGTGGTCCTGTCAGCATGCTGAGTGTGAGCAAATGAAACAAGCTGTTTGGAATTAAATCCTACCCCAGCGGAGCTAAACCTGGCTTGGTTCCAGTCGAGCATAGAATATATATATGTATATATATGTATGTCTTGAGTTGATGGGTCATCTACAAGTTTTAAAAGATCTTTATGAACCAGAAGCTTTTGGAAGGAAATGTGCAGAGCTTCAGAGTGCTGCCAGCAGCCCTCAGTTTGGAATGGAAGTCCGAGTAGGAGAGGGAGATGTAAGAATTATTCCACCTGGCCTGCTGAGTTCTGCTGTGGCTTGAGCAGCTTGTTTTGATTATTGACTCTGTGAAAGACTGGAGGCTCTCGTTGCCAGCACTTTCCAAGTCAGCTCGCCATGATTGGAGGCAGACTGAAACCTATGGCTTTTTCTTTTTTCCCTTTACTTCATGTGCTCATTTTTTACAGTTCCTGCAGTCTTGGCTGTTGATAACAGCTCAGGGTGTGAGACCCAAACGCAGACAGTGCTGTTGACCAACAATGAATGAAATACACCTGATTTGGCAGGCAGTTGAGTAAGACAGTTGAGGAGAAGGGGACATTGTTACTTTATAGACAGGCAGCAGCAAATAAAACTTGCAAGAGGTGCTTCTTGTTTAAAGGCAAGAGTGTCTATCTCAGCATATTTAGTTCTTCTTAGAGTTTAAAGGGGAGAGACTTGCTGCATTTAAGCTATATCCCTCTAAGGCCAAGACCTGGTAGTAGTCCTGTTACGTGATATTAGCACTGGTTTCTTTTTTTCTGGTTTTGCTGTAACCCTAACTGTGATGTGGATCTCATGTCTGGGCATGTGATTTTAATTGAACGCGACCTGAGAAAAACAGCCTGTGTTGGTATTTGCCATGCTGCCAGCACTTACGCTGCTGCATGGTGCTTTAAAAAGAAGCAAACTGACCTGTGGTATTTTCTTAACATGTTGTAGATAGGAAAAATATCTAAAAACAAAAAGAAAAAACTGAAAAAGAAGCAGAAAAGGCAGGCTGAGTTATTGGAAAAGCGCCTGCAGGAAATAGAAGAATTGGAGCGAGAAGCTGAAAGGAAAATAATAGAAGAAAACGTCACATCAGCTGTACCTTCCAATGAGCAAGATGATGAATACCACCCAGAGGTGAAACTAAAAACAGCAGGATTAGAGGAGGCAGCCGAGGGTGAGACTGCGAATAACAATGGTCAGTGGAATCTGGAGACAGGGCTGCATAGGAGCCCAGGAGCTCCCACAGTAGGGACCCGCCCGGTCACCAGGCAGGGTGACTTGGTGCTGCGCTGATGCTTCAGACAGGAGGGTGGTTCTCTCCAAGGCCTTATTGGAGAGCGTGGGGAGTTGTTTGGTACTTGCTTTGTAAAATGTGTGCCAGAAATATGTTAATATTTCAAAATAGTTTTTTTTTTTTTTTTAATGTCAAACGCCTGAGAACACCATGTCTTTATCATGCTAATGATTGTCCTTCATTTTGTAATTAAGCTTTTACTTAACGGTAGTGTACCCTCAGACTTTTTCTGAAGATTATAGAGGAGAGGGTAGAAATGGAAGTACAGCTCCATTTATGCCCATTTTCCCAAAGAGCTAACTTTTTCTAATAAGAGTAGGCCAGTTATTTAATAAATGAAAGATAAGATTTAGAGTACCTAAAGATTTTACCCTGAGAGCCAAGAGGTGTCTGCTCTGTAGCACATGAAATTAGCACATTCGAATTTGTCTCTTGTTGGAGGAGATAAGTGCCTACTGCACTCTGTTACGGGAGAGAGACAAGTTTTCATTCTTACCCTTCAACTTTTTAAGGCGAAGCTGAGGACCAGGAGGAGAAAGAAGACACTGAGAAAGAAAACACCGAGAAAGACGAAGACGATGTTGAGCAGGAACTCGCGAATGTAGACCCTACTTGGATGGAATCACCCAAAACCAATGGCCATATTGAGAATGGCCCATTCTTACTGGAACAGCAGCTGGACGATGAAGACGATGATGAGGAAGATTGCCCAAATCCCGAGGAATATAACCTCGATGAGCCAAATGCAGAAAGCGATTACACATATAGCAGCTCCTACGAACAATTCAATGGTGAATTGCCAAATGGACGACATAAAATTCCTGAGTCCCAGTTTCCAGAGTTTTCCACATCGTTGTTCTCTGGGCCCTTAGAACCTGTGGCTTGTGGCTCTGCACTTTCTGAGGGATCCCCGCTTACCGAGCATGAGGAAAGCAGTCCATCCCATGACAGAAGCAGGACGGTTTCAGCCTCCAGCACTGGGGATTTGCCAAAAAGTAAGTGTCCCTTCCCATCAGGTGTCTGCTTTTAGTGGTCCAAGTGTCATACCCTTGACACATGCTGTGAAGGGAATTGGCTGGAGATGGTAAAGCCGTGTATGTATGCGTTAACCATTTTCATTTTATTACTTCTGTACTCATGAATAAGTTAATGTGATTTTAAATGTATTCTGTGCCACTAGGCTCTCTCTTTCTCTTTGCATATCAGGTCCCATTTCTGAGTTTTTTTCCTTGTAATTTTAAATGTATTCTGTGCCACTAGGCTCTCTCTTTCTCTTTGCATATCAGGTCCCATTTCTGAGTTTTTTCCTTCTTCCTGTCTTTCGCTAGTGATCATACATTTGCAGAAACCTTCAAAGCCTAGCATCTCATCCCTGTAGCTTTTTAGCGTGTGTAGTTTAATTCACAATTTGTACTTCCACCTGACAGTGTTATATTTAGTTTTTGGTTTTTTGTTTTGTTTCGTTTCTATTCAAGGAATAATGTGCCTGCTCTTTATTTGTAGTGAGGAGGAAGTGTCTTACTTTATTTTGATAGCTGTTCTTGATTATAAGATTCTTCTTTTGACATTTTAAAGGAAGCGCTGTGGGTTTAAATGTGATGATGATGCATATATATCAAAACCTGATTTTGAGGGTGAGTGCCACATGACAGATCTCCGCCTGTGGCATGCTAGGGGACTTCAGTAGGCAAACCCTTGGTGTCACACACAGTTGGTCTCCATTCTGGCCCACAGTGGAAGAGCTCAGAAACCTCCTCTGCTCCCTCTGCTGGCAAGAATGTTAACACATGGTGAGTCAGTTGATGAGCCGGCCCTGCAAATAGCTCAAGATGTTCTGCAGCCCCTTTGATTCCAGTAGCTGAGAGACCTGCAAAGCCTTCTCTGTTACTCAGTGGCCACAGCTAGTCATCCTAAGGATATATATATAATTTTTAATTGGACAGACACATTCTGCTCCTGTTTACCTTTACCCTGACCAGCGGGTTTGAAGGTGCTTAATGAAATGCCTTCACGAGGAATGTAGCCTCATCTGAGGAAAAAGCCACCTCTGTGTCTCCTTTACTCTCATTCTGCTCCCATATTACTGCTGACACTTTTGGTTACCAAGCACATGTGTGTAGGGGTGTCTCCCCACCTAAACAGTTCTCCGGCAACAGCTCGGTGTCTTGCAATTGAAGTGAGGTCTGACACTACTTGGAGAGAGTGTCAGATCCCAGGGTTAAGGGCTCAGTCTCACAAGACTGTGTGTCGGTCTCCCCCTGCACTCCCCCCACATCCATCCCAAGTCCATGTTGTCACCTGTGCTTCTGAACAATCGTCCGTAAGTCAGAGGTTCCTGTGACGCTGCCCTGGGGCTGGATTAATTTGTTAGAGCAGCGCACGGAACTCAGGAAAACAGTGTACTTGCTAGACAATCAGTTTAGCAAACAAGGATGTAAGTCAGGAACATCCAGATGGAAGGGGTGTGTCGGGCATGGTGGATGGGAAAGGAGGGAGGCTTTCACGCTCTTGCTAGAGACACCACCCTTCCTGCAGTCTCTCACGCATTCCTTCATATCGTGGACTCATGGATTTTTTTTTCTCTTTAATTAACACGTCGAATTGTGTGTTATCGTTTACAGCTTTTTTTTGAATGCCAGGATTATCCCACATTTGGTCTGTGTGAGCCCCCTCAGGTTGGCTCTTAAGTCCTTTTGACAGAACCCTGTTATTCCTCAGGTGCCCCCTTGCTCTTCTAGAACCATGTGCCCAGGTTCATACTTTCCCTGCCCCAGGCTGGAGTCAGCCATGCCCCCAAGTAATTTTTGCTATTGATATTTTTTAAATGTTTTTTATAATGTACATAATATATAGGAACAGTAATATGTAAAGTTCATAAACATGCACATATTGAAATGAGTGTTCAAACATCTCTTACTGATGGAGTAAACAGTGAAAAGGTTTAGTAATCTCAAGTGTAGCGGAGTCTCTTCCCCATTTATTTTTGAGACATAATAACAAGTGTCTGTGTGAACGTGGCATGCTTGCTCATGCTTCTGTGCCTTTCTGACGCCTTCCCTCCTGCCTGGAGTGCTTCCTCCTGTGTGTTTGGGCACACCTCTTTTCTTCTGTTGGGTCCTCACTGTGTTCCCTGGCAGGTCCCAGTTCTTGTTCCCCTCTTTTCCTGCTGGTCACACTTTTCTTCACTGTGTGTTCGTTGTTCGTTTCCACTGTCTTCCTCTTCACTAGGATGTAAACGCTTTGAGAGTGCTGTGTATTTCCGTCTTTGTATCCTCAGCATCTAACTCAGTGCTAAGATAAGCATTTATTGAATAATGAACCAACAAATCAGTGATACCTGACTATATTCTTCCGTTCTTCCCGTTCTCCCACCTTTGCCCATTCACAGTCAGAATTTTACTTTGTCCAAAACACATTCTGTCCCCAGCACCCTGGCTGTTGCGTGAATATTGCATCAGGGAGAAATAGGAGGTCTGTTTTTTTCATTGAGCCTAGTCTCTTACCAAGCTGACCTTTTCATTGATCCAGTCATTTATTTGGAGGCACTCGGCTTGGGTTTGCAGCCTGGTCTTTGGATAACCGTGGACAGCCTCCCGCAGGGGAGGTGTTTTGTTTCCTACACGGAAGGGGTATGGTCTAGAGACTGGAAGTTGGCCACCAGGTGCTACGAGAACATGAGGCGAGAGAAACATCCTTCCCTGAGTTTGTGTAGATCCTTGTCGTTATAGCAGAATGGATACATTAGGAAATAGTAGAAGAAAAGCTGGGGCCACAATGAGAAGATTGAGAAAGAACTTACATGCCAGGCTAAGGATGTGAACTTCTCCCTGGAGTAGTTTTGTAGCCATTGAAGGTTGAGAAGAGGAGGGTTCCTCTTGGGTTATTACTGCTGGAGCCGTAGCACGTATCTGGGCTCAGCACATCTGAAGTACAAAGGCCTGGGAGCAGGGTGGTACGTGCAAGGTGTATGTTGAATCCTTTCTCCCTCACCTAGTAGTGACCCATGTCAGTGGCAGTGCTTGGCTAGGCTGCTGGAACATGACTCCACACTCTTCTCACTCCACTGTTGCTCCTAGTCTGTTCCCCAAGGAACAGTCCCGAGAGAGCCTTTTTTTTTTTTTTAGCGGTACGCGGGCCTCTCACTGTTGCAGCCTCTCCCGTTGCGGAGCACAGGCTCCGGACGCGCAGGCTCAGTGGCCATGGCTCATGGGCCCAGCCGCTCCGCAGCATGTGGGATCCTCCCAGACCGGGGCACGAACCTGTGTCCCCCGCATTGGCAGGCGGACTCTCAGCCACTGCGCCACCAGGGAAGCCCCCCGAGAGAGCTTTTGAAAGCACATTCCACCCCCTACCGTGTAGCATAACCCGCAGAGGCGTCATTCTCTAAAGCTTACAGCCCTGTACTGTCCGTCCCGGCCGCGCTCTTTCTGGTATCGTTCCCCACCCGCCTCTATGTCCCCTGCTCATTCTGCCCCTCCCACACTGCCTTCTTTCTGAGCTTTCTCAAGGTTGCAAGCTTGGCGCTTTCCACTTGCTGTCCTCTCTGCCCAGAGCTTCTCTCCTCTGTGCCTCCCTTTGTTCAGGCCTCTCCTCAAAGGTCACTTTCTCAGAAAAGACGCCGTCTGCACACCCGCCCGTGGCCAAACGCCCTCATCAGTAGCCATCTCCTTTCTCCGCTGTGTTTTTCTTCTTAGCAGGTAGAGCTACTTGACATGATGTGTGAATCATTCATTTTATTTATCACCCATATTCCCAGCAAGTGCGTGAGTTTCCTAATTTGGGATGTGGTGGCGGAACCTTGTGTGTCTTGTTGATTCTCTTCCCAGTGCCAGGGCAACGTCTAGCACATAGAGGGGACTCAGTAAATACTCACAGTACCTATTTGTGAACAAATAGGTCAGGTTTGGGCATTAAGTCTCCTAGTTCTGCTCTTTCTTTGGGCTGGTGCTAAATCTCCTGCATATAAAGAGGGTACTCATGCCTTCCTTGTAAGGATGTTTTAAACATAAAAGTGTCAGTGTGGGGCTGCTGCATCACTGAGGCCCCGCCGGCTGCCATTTTCCTGGTTCCTAGGATCACCTCAGATGGAGTGAATACAGTGTCACCCAGAGACCAGGTTATCAGAATGACTTCAGGACTCCAGCCCTTCCTGAAGTGAAGTCTTCCCGCCTCTCTCTTCCCACTTTTCATTCCCTCCTTGGTAGAAGCAGAGAGCAGGGAAGAGCTGTGGTAGTTGCATGATAGTGCCTGAATCACGGGAGGCGATCTGATTTCTGGGCAAAGCAAAACTCGTACGACTGCACAAGAAGCGTGGCTGTCCCTGTGTTTAAACGGGCCTTTTTGAGTGTTGTACTCAGGTAACCTTTTACAGATTACCTAGAGCAGGAAACTAGCACGCTGGGAAAAGAAGTGCAAGCGGATTCTCTTTTACGTCCTTTGCGTTCTTAATACAGTTAACATTTTGAGGTAAATTCCCTAGTATCATCTGGAATGCATTGTGCGCCTGGTAACCACGCACAGACACAAGCTAGGAGAATAACAGCATGTCACCAGAGAGACTTGGTCTAGTGCTCATAAGTGAGGGATATTAAATACAAAGAAACTGTACAGGTGGCCCCTGAATTAACCATGGTTCGATTGTACGATGGTGCGAAAGCGAAACGCACTCCGTAGAAGCTGTGCTTCACATCTTGAATTGTGATCTTTTCCCGGGCTAGCGATACACTGCGCGATCCCACCTTGTGATGCTGGGCAGCCCCCAGGCAGCCACGCGATCACACGAGTGGACAGCTGGCACAGGTGCGACCACTCTGTGCCCAGACAGCCCTTCTGTCTTTCACTTTCAGTACAGGACGCAGTGAATTACATGAGATATTCAACACAGTTTATTGTGAAGTAGGCTTTGTGTTAGTTGTTTTTTTGCCCAACTGTGGGCTAACGTAAGTGTCCTGAGTGATGTTGAAGTTACTAGGCTCAGCTATGACGTGTGGTAGGTGATGTGTAATTAAATGCATTTTGAACTTACGATATTTTCAACTTGAGATGGGTTTCTTGGGACATAACCCCATCGTAAGTCGAGGAGGATCTGCACTGGAGGTGTGTGATGTTGTGTTTTGAAGGTGTTTTTCCTCTAGCTGAAGTGACTCGTGTGTGATGTCTTTAGAACAACGACTGGAGGAGGGTGGCGGTTTCAGATCCCCTCTTTCCACTCGAGCACCCTTGACGGCAGCTCACTCAGTCAGAACCTGCCGCTTCATCCTCTTCTCCTGCCAGGCCTTTGACCTCAGTGGTTTGCAGTGCCGGAAGCCACGGCTTGGCCTCCCATCCTCTCTGTGCCGCGGGGACTTTGGCTGGTCCCTCACTGGCCATTTAGAAGCCCTGGCCTCAGAGGGTGGTCTGGCTGGTGGCAGGCAGGAGGGTGCCTCTGGATCTGGCCAGCCAGGCGCTGTCGTAGCTCTCCTGTGTTTGGTCTTTTTTTCATTTGTATTTTTTGGCGGAGGAGGGGTGGTCCCTTCCTCTTCCTCCTTTACTGGGAACTGAGCCTCAGAGTTTAAGTCATTTGCCAGAGTCTTGTAACTTACAGACGTAGAAACAGATTTGAATCCAGTTCTGCAAACCTCACATTCCATTTTCTTGCCCGCCGAGTCTTCTTTATTAAACGACATGAGGGATTCATCTAAGCCATTTCCAGTGCTGGCCATCCGTCTGTTGGGTCGGCATTTTTATGTTTCTTCTAGAACTCAGTTTCGCAGCCATTCCCTGTTCGGTGTGAACACCTTGCCTCTTTGTGTGTGTCTTTGTGCTGCCGTCCTTCTCATCATTTCTCGTTTCCTGTGTTTCTTCTCCTCGGCTCGTACCTGGCCTTTGGTGAGGCCTCACTTTGGTCAGTGCCCTCTTACAGAGGGACATGGTGTGGGGCAGATAGCAAGGAGGGAACGTGTGGGCCTGGCTGGCTTGGGTTGGTCCGTAAGTCTGAGGAACAGGTCTTGAGGGTTAAAACGTTGCCAGAGTTCTCTTGCATTTTCTGGCCCCTCCTGGGGAGCTCTGTGGGTGCCCCAGGTCCTGGGTGCATCGCCTACTCCCTGCCCTGCTCACGGTGCATGCAGCCTGGCCTTGCCGCCCACCTGGGGTGCCGAGCCCCACAGCACGGGTCTACCCGAAGGAGGGACAGTCATTCCAGCAGTCCCCACCTTCGAGTGAGCTAAAGGGTGTTTAATATTCTGCATTGAGCGGGCTTTTCTGTTTTGTCTGTGAGTACCATTTCAGAATTACTTCTGAAATGAATGAAGAGCCATGGTTACATATCATCTTTACCAGAAATCCCAGCTTGCCGGTCAGTTTGAGGTTTGATGGAGATGCTGAGTCACTTCAGCATTTTCTGTCTGGGCCTCACCACATTATTCTTCTTTGTCACTGCCTCCTGGTTAACTGTGCTTTCTTGCAGGCCTGGTCTGTGCTTATCTGAAAAGCTTCTCTGGCCCCGCAGCCCTGAGAATCCCGGCCCCGTGCCTACTGTTGAGAATTCCTCAGGGTTTCTGGGGGTTGAGAGTGGCTTGAGTATTTGACAAGTCTGTGAGGGACCTCAGAGGGCCCGGGCCGTCTCAAGAGACCTCTGTTCTGCAGTGTTACTTGTCCACAGCTAAACCAGAATTGATTGGTCCCTGCCCTTAATCTGTATTTGTTAATCGGCCATCATCTAACTCTTGAGGTCTCTGTGCTCTGCCCAGGCAGAGGGAGAGGTGAGGGCTGTGGGCCACTTAGGAAGGGATGGGCACCCCCTGGGGAACGTTCTCTCTACCCCCACGTTAAGTAATAACGCACCTCTGAGCTAGACAGGGCCCGTTAGGGAACTGGCGTGGCCCAATGAGGAGCAGCTAAAAGATACAGGAACCAAGCAGGGCTGACCTGCTCGGTGAAGGATGGGGAGAAAGGAGGAGGGGCAAGGCAGTGTCCATGGGGTCTCTGGGCAGTTTGCTCTCTTGTGAAGTATTTTCCAGAGGTGGAGACCAAGAATTTAAATTCTGTTGAGTTCAACTTACAGGATTCCAGGCCTAAATGATCACCCACCGCTTTTCTAGAAAAGGACACTGTGCCCAGCAAGTATTGTGTGCACACGCGCAAACCACTTATTCCAGGCACTAACTGTCCTGCTGTTTGCTCATGCCAGCAAAAACCCGGGCAGCCGACCTGTTGGTGAATCCCCTGGACCCACGGAATGCAGATAAAATTAGAGTTAAAATTGCCGACCTGGGAAACGCTTGTTGGGTGGTAAGTACAGTTTTCTTTCTAAAACATTTCGGTTGTGATCATGTATTAGAAGATGCTTTTTCTCTCGTTTAATGTCTGTGTTCCTCCACGGTAATGCAGTCTGTTCCCTTCCAGCATAAACACTTCACAGAAGACATCCAGACGCGTCAGTATAGATCCATAGAGGTTTTAATAGGAGCAGGTTACAGTACCCCTGCTGACATTTGGAGTACGGCGTGTATGGTAAGAACGGCCTTTGCCATTTTCCTCTGTGTAAAGGCTCATCCTTTTAGTTCCCATGATGGGGCAGCTCCACCAGGGCCTTTGGTCGAAGCTTTCTGACGGTGAGGGTTGTCCACTGAGGGGTGGGTGAGGGGAAGGTGGCTGCCTTGGGTATCTTAAGAGAGCTTCTCTGCCATGTCCTGGTGTGTGTTTTGGTTTGGTCTTGTGAGAGACGACCTCGTGAGGCCCTCTGCAGCCCGCGGCCCCGAGAATGAGAGCCCCGCTGTGGTGACAGTGACTTCAGGGAGCTCCTGTGGCTCCCGGAAGCTTGCAGATTGCGCGCGGTCCCCTCACTCAGGCCGTGGAGGAAGATGAGACAGCTGCGATTTAGGGGAAGGTTGTCTGAGCGGCTCTGACAGACCTTGTCTCCTTGCTGGAGAGAGAGGATTTCCCCACATACCAGGGTCCAACCTCTCTCCTGTTAAGCAGAGTCTAGAGACTGTTCTGGCTTACTGCTCTAGGCTGTGTCCAGCCATGTCTGAGGCACCAGCAGCCGCCTGTACCGTTTGACTGAGTCTGTTCCCTTAGGCAGCTCAGCGATGGTTTTCCTCAGGGCCTCGGGATGCCTCTTGTTTCTCCAGTATGATGTAGCCATTTTCACTGCCACTTGTGTGCATCAAAAGTCTGGTTGTGTCTAAACTGTCCTCAGCCCCACCAGTGCCTCTTCTCACCTACTCCTTACCTGTGAGCCGATAAGCATGAATGGTTCCTCGTCTATAAGCCAGTTTCAGTTTCTCTGTTGGTCCTGTTTCCTGGTCGGTTTGTCACCTTCCTCTTAGTGGGCTGAGCTTTGTAGTCCTTTGTTGGAAGAGGGGATGCATGTGTCTCTTGCTTCACGTGGTGTTTCATGCTTTCCTCATTTTTTCTCCAAATTCTCCTATGATATTTAAATGAAAGGGCATGGCATGTGTGTAAAGCTTGGTACTTGTTTTCTCACTAAAAAAACAATGCAGAATAAGTGTATTGTCTGTTATTCAAGGATTAATGTAGCACTTCTTTTGGGTGTGTCCTCTGATGCTGAAGTATAGCACTGTTAGCAAGTTGTGCTAAAACAACATGAAAATAGTAGATGTTCTGTGTTTTTCAAGTTTGCAGCCAGTATGGCCCAACAGATCTAGAACAGTGTGCCCTTCTGTCCCCATGTTGCTCTGACGGGTAATGCCAGAGAATAAGTTTAAAATTAAGTTTCTCAGTAAGTATCAAAAACTGAGCCCTTGCCTTGCTAGGTATGGACAAGGAGGGTTAAAAGAATTGGTGGACCAGATGGCTGGGCTGGCCCTGGTGGGCGGGGCTGACTTCTGAATGAGGGAGGTTATCAGAGTGGGAGGAGGGCAGGGGTCGGAGATCATGGGCCAGAGGCCAGGGGGTGTGGGAGGTGGCAGCCACTTTAGTCTTTTTTCTTTTTAATAATTCCTTTTTTTTTTTTTTTGCGGTACGCGGGCCTCTCGCTGCTGTGGCCTCTCCCATTGCGGAGCACAGGCTCCGGACGTGCAGGCTCAGTGGCCGTGGCTCACGGGCCCAGCCGCTCCACGGCATGTGGGATCTTCCCGGACTGGGGCACGAACCCATGTCCCCTGCATCGGCAGGCAGACTGTCAACCACTGCACCACCAGGGAAGCCCTAATAACTTTTTAAATTAAAAAAAAAGAGAGAGAGAGAGAATTGGTGGACGTGTCATGGTTCCTTAGAACGCAGGGCCTGCTGTGTGGACAGGGGTGAGGCTCCCTGTGGGCGAGTCGGGGGGCAGCGGGGAGGGGGGCTGGGGGCTGGAAGCAGTGGGAGGCAGCGGCCAGGTCAGCAGAAGGGGTCGCCGTCAGTAGCGGGAGCTGCGGGGCTGTTGGATCTCAGGGTGTGGTGAGGTCAGGCCCTCCTCCTCCCCAGCAGCGCAGAAGGGGCCGTGTCGGGGCTGCCCTCATTTATACTCTGCAGGCTCTTTCAGCTCTGAAATCCTGTGCTTCTAATTTGGGGTGTTGAATTTTGGTGATATAACCAGAAAAATAGGACAAGATCACAGATGTAGTCGGATAATGGCGGAGCTGTCAGTACCGTTTTATACCGGGCTCTCTGTCTGGCCTTCTGTGAGGTGACGGTCTGTCCCTCCACACAGTCTCCTGTCCTGCTGAGCCCTGCAGTTGCTGTGAACGGTGGTGTCAGCGTCAAGAGCAGACTCCTGCGGAAAAGCACTCCCTCCATCTCCTTTGCCTCCCAAGAAGTGGAGCGTAAGGTCCCTCAGTACTTCTAGGGCTGCTTAGGAAGCTCTTGTTCATCAGTTTAAGGGTGATTTTCTGGGAGCGGGGCAAGCCTGCATCCCCACCCTCCCCCGTCCCCGGAGGCCGCGGCTGAGAGGTCGCCTCTTGTTCTTCGTAGAGAACCTGGCGCAGATGAGCCGTCTTTGCCCAGCCCACCCTGCTGTTGAAGTTTAAGTATGTAACAGTACATTAAATTCATCATACCAAGCTGTAGTAAAGCTCCAGATTGTTCTTGGTGGGAAAGCCCAGGGTTCTTTGTTATAAAGGGCATCAGATCTTACAGAGACGCTAGTGGAGCTGAGAGTGGTGGCTGGTAGCCGTGTTCACTGGTCAGTGCCTGTGCTGCGGGCAGGGAGGAGAGCTTTCACACTGGGCAGGGGCAGCGCCGTGAGGCAGGGCAGCTGGGCTTTGTCAGGTGTTGAATCTCTTTTCTCTTTTCTTGAGCTTTGGAGCCCTCCAGATGTAAGTGTGTGTGATTAAAAATTACGTGTGGACCCCGGCATTGGTCGCTCTGCACTTGTGTTTCAGAGTCCCTGAATAGGCGTCTTCCCGTGGGCTCCATGGTGAGCCTCAGTCAGCGCTGTAGAGACAAGAAACGCCAGTCTGACCCATTTCACCAAACTTCTCGGCAGTGGTCACATCACAGAAGGCATACGTGACCTTATTTTATTCAGGATGGGATACTTGACGTGGGATGATGGCATTTCAGGAAGGGGTGTATCTGGTCTCCCCAGAGCCTGAGGACAGAGGCTGGTCCAAGGGAAAGAGGGCCCTCTGAGGGGATTGGGCCGAGTACAGAGTTCCCAAGTATTAAAAATAAGCGATAATAATAGAGGTTATATTGAGAGTAACTTATTGAGTTGAAGGCAATAATTTTTCATGGTTTCATAGTTGCCAGCATAGAAGCAAGTTGTAAAGTACAGAGACTGATGTTTTCATTGTGGTGTGTGTTTACCCTGCCTGCTGTCTGTGTCCTAGTTGTTAAGAAAAATCTCATCATGCTTCAGAGAATCAGGACCCGATAACATGACAGGGGGAGCCTTCATCTTGCCTCTTCCTTTTTTCTTTTAAACCATTTCATTGATAGGCTTCTTCAGCCTGTGTTTCCTTGGAAATACATGGGTGCTAATCAAAATGGTCATCTTTCAAAGAACACTCAGTGGACATATCTTAGTGCTAGGCTGTCAGAAGTACATACAACCAGATTGAAATGTTTTTGAACATTGATTAGAAGAGTGAGGGAGGCCCCAAGGACGGTGAAGAGCAGCTGGTGCTCTGCTTTGGCTAGATCATGCGACTTCTGGGGTCTTCTTTCTCCATTAGGGTTTCACCCTTTTCTCTTGGCTTGTGTCCCGGATGAGAAAGACGCTCCTGGCCATTCAGTGTGTCATCCACTTGTTCCCCATGGACCTGTGGCCAAATGTGAGGTGTTTTACCCTGATCTGGGATTGACCCTAGTATCTTTATTGTTTGTTGGGTGGAGCGGGGAGGCCCTGCAGCACCTAGACGACCGCCTGACGTACTCTGTGCTGAGACTGGGCACATCAGACCCAGGTCTGGCTCAGGGTAGGGATCCCGAGTTGTGAACTAGTGTTCGTCACAGGGTAGCTGGCAACGGGCTTGGCATCCCACCTCCCTCCTTTCTTAAAAAAGGAAAATACAAGGTGAAGAGATGTGGTCCTGGGCTAAGCGCGCCCACCTGGGTTTGTGAGAGGGGCCCCCGCCTCAGGCAGACGAGACTTCCCCTGCGGGTGCCCGCCCACACCCTGTGATCCTGGACAGAAGTGGAGAGGGCGGGCTGGTGTGGGGCGGGCTCATCGAGGCGCCCGTGGGGAGGGCGGTACCTTGAGAGGAGCGGGCGGTGCCCCGGGCCGCTGACCCACAGGCATCTGCAGACCTGACAGGACGGCCCCTGAGGGCCTCCAGAACAGCGAGATCTAACACACAGGAGAAGTAAGTATGGGAAAAACCAAACACGGGATGTAGCTTGTTCTTTTTAAAACTTCTTGTAAATTCTCATTTAAAACATGTTTTCAAAAAAACATGGTATTTGATTAACAGAGCGATAGCAGTTGTCATTTTTATGTATTGTTAGCAAGTTAAAGCTCATAGTCCTGAGATAACTTTGTGAACAACGGAAGTGGGCTCAGTGGCAGCGATGGGAAAGCGGTGCCCCTCCCGTTCCCTCCCGACCCCAGCACCCTGGTGGGGACAGCCCTGTAACCAGGAAGCCGCTCTCCTGGCCGCCCTCGGGCGGGCTGCACGAGGGTCTGGTTCCTCCTGGCCCCGGGGGACAGAGCAAGAGGGGCTTCTTTGGTTCTAGAATGTCCTTTGGTTGAATCAGAAGTGAATGAAGTGATGATGAGTTGCTGAAAGTAGCCCCCTGTTGCTAAGACATGAAGGTCTTTGCTTCAGGAGAGCAGCCGCAGCCGTGGTCCGGGGCCAGGTTAGCCTGCGGGTTGCAGCTGGGCTCTGGGGCCACAAAGACCTGGGCCTTAGACTGAGCCCTCGTTCTGCCGTTCAGATTAGAGTGCAGTGCTCCGGCCACGCCTGCACACGGCTGCTTCCTGCAAAGTGAAGCAGAGGTGCAAGAATATTTCTGAAGCTTCTTTGAACTTTTGGGAAGAAGAGAAAGCCTGGTGTTGAGCCCTTTCAGGAGGCTCTTTGGTTTGATTCATATCCTCATAAAATGTAGGTCTCTTGTACCAGAAAAAGTTGCTGGCTTGGGGCCCGTCTCCGTGAAGCGCTTAGCATGTCATCTGTTGTATCCTAGGCATTTGAGCTGGCAACGGGAGATTATTTGTTTGAACCGCATTCTGGGGAAGACTATTCCAGAGACGAAGGTGAGTATTGCTGCCTGCTGAGTACCTCAGTCCGGGTTTCCTGAGAGTCCTGAACTTCTGGAGAATATTGTCTTTTTGCACCGAAATAGAGCTGTGTTTTGGTTTTCAAGCACCAAATTCAGATGCTCTCCCTTTGAGCTTGAAGCCCCCTCAGCTGCAGTGACTGGGCAGAGCCTCCTGGCACCGGCGATGCTTTGGAGAGCCCTCGGGCCTGAGCCCGCCCCCGCGGGCCTGAGCCCAGCTGGCCGGGAGAGGACAGGCCGGACGAACCCGGAGCCTCTCCGTGGACATTTTGTCCACTGATCTGCTGCCCACTTCTCTGTCCTGTTGGGGGCTGAATTTAAAACCGGGGAACTCTGGCTTGAATTCCCGTCTGCAGACCTGACCATCTCCATGCTTATTTGTTTGCGATGCTGGGGTGGCCTGGGGTGAGCTGGCATCGGTCACTGTTAATGCTCCAGATGGGGCCTGAGGCCTGCCAGTCCCAGAAGCCTCTGCGTGGATGTGCTGCACACATTGTTGATTTGATTCTATCTCTGATTTTTTACTAATTTCAATTTTTTCCCCCTCTTCTTTTATCCCATCCTTCCCTTTGCCCCTCCCATTCCCGTATCCTTTTTTTTCTCTCCTCCATAGACCACATAGCCCACATCATAGAGCTGCTAGGCAGTATCCCAAGGCACTTTGCTCTGTCTGGAAAATATTCTCGGGAATTCTTCAATCGCAGAGGTAGTACCTCTTTTTTTTGAAAAGCGCCACGATGCAGACAGAAATGGAATAGCAGCTGCTGGTTGTAGCATTAATGGTGACAAAGGCCTTTCTCCTAAATTCCAAAAGCAGCCCAGCAGAATTCCTGTGCTGACTTCAGACTTGAGAAGGAGCCCCTGCCTGGCCCCGTCCTGCGGTCACCCTGTGCGTCAGCTCCTCTGCGGCGCCTTGAATCTGGCCACTCGGGCAGAGCCTGTGCTCTGGCTGTTGACGCTGCGCTCTGTTTCTGTCTGCGCGGGCGATGGCAGTGTCTGCATGCAGTGTACTGATTAAATTGTCGTGTGTTTCTGTTTTGCTGGCAATGTTTCCCAATGCAGATCACATAGCATTGATCATTGAACTGCTGGGGAAAGTCCCTCGAAAATACGCTATGTTGGGGAAATATTCCAAGGAGTTTTTCACCAGAAAAGGTAACGGTATTTACGCAACACTAAATTTTCAGCGTAATCCTCTCCCAGAGGAGAAATTGTGCGTTCGCGTTTGGGCAGTGGAGAAAGATCTGGACTTACCGCTGGGGGAGTCTGCTGAAGAAGGCTCTCAAGAAATAAAGAATCATCTGATATCTGTGGAATAAGAATTTTGTAAGAGAACAATCTTCCGAAAATCCTTTGACCTCCTCCACACCTCTCCTTTATGCTAAGCACCAATTCATGTATTCAAGTATTTATAAAAGAGTTTAAATGATTTTTAGAAAGCAGCTAGGCTTACCTTTCCATTTTCCACATTGCTCCTGGAACCAGAGTGTTTTTGCAGTGGCGCAGAGGTGGCCTAGAGACTGGACTTAATGACTGTCCATCTGTATCCTGTTGCATGTGTCTGAGCTGTTTCTGTAGGGGTGTGGGCCTGTGAAGTCCTGTGTGCCTCACATTCTTATCAATCATATGCTCTTCTCCCAGTGCATTACCTCACACTGTACTGTAGGTGATTTATTTTAATATTGCAGTTCTCGTTGATCTTCCTTGGCATGACCTAGAACAACTCTCTTTGCCCTGTGTAGTCCCTAGTGAGTGATCAATTTTTTAAAAAGCCCCGGGGAATTTATTTTTACAGCGCCCTTCCCCAATGCCATAGCCTTTGATGTGAGCATAGATAGTCCTCTGAACTCATGTTTTTCCAGCTTTGATTTGGAGGGGGGGGCGGTGCTGCAATTCCCGTTAAAAAAGAACTGTTTAAAGTTGATGTGAGCGGGACATGGAGTTTCTAGAAATTTCTGCAAGTACTAGATACTCTATCTCCCCTGCTTTAGCCAAATTTGGAAAACCAATTTGACTTTTTAGTTTCCTGTGAGATAAGGAGTTCTTGTAGAGTAATAACCTTTTATGATATACTTTGGTGATGTTCAGCTAACCAGTGCTGTCTTACCCCTTAAAGTCCATCTCCCCGTGAATGCATGAGGCCTGAGAGCGAACCATGCCAAGACAGTGGTTTCTTGCTCACGTACTCTTGAGAGTGTTGACCACAACTCTTAGGTTTTTGGGGAGCACCCAGTGGGTAACCTCTGAAATATGTAACTGGATGCAGTATCTTGTTATTTCCTTTTTAAAGCTCATCAGAGGAAAAAAAAATTGTCAAGGAAAAATGTTCTTCAGACATGTATTAATTTTCGTTCTGAGACTCTGGTCTTCGAGTCTGGGTCACTTAAGCAGGTACAGGGGTCCCCCGCCACACCCAGACTCTCACGCAGTCTCAAGTCGTGCTCAGGGCAGTGTGTCCAGTGGCACAGCTGGGGCTGGAGCGTGCTGGGGGGCTGGGGCTGGGCACAGCGTGTCACGTCGTCTCCGAGGCTGTCAGCGGGGGTGACTTCCAGTGAGTGCATCCTTGATACAAGGAGGCGTGAGAGGATGTCTGCACCACGCGGTGCATTAGGAACTGTTTCCGTTATTGGTAAAGCAGAATTATAAACAGGATAACGCTGTGCACATTGTGAACTGGTCAGCAGTATGACTGAGAGAGCGGGCTGTTTCCTAGGAAATTTCCAGAAAATGTTATTTGAACATAGTTGAAGCAAGGGAAAGCTCTGGATGATTTTGGCCTGGGATGGTGTGGCTTGGAGAGTCGTGTTTATTTTAATCAAAGCAGACTGCTTCTTCCACATTTCAGAATGTTTTCAGAGCCCATGGGAGATGGCCTGGGCCTCAGGAGGACTTGGCTGGTAGGTGACCTGCCCCCAGCCATAGCTTTCACCATTGTCAGGTGGGGAGGGCGGCCAGGAGCTAGCAGCCTGATCTGTCAGGCAAGTAGCAGTGTTGGCCTGCGGGTGCCCTGGAGGGGAAGGGGGAGGGCCCTGGAGGGGAAGGGGGAGGGCCCAGGAGGGCTCTGGACCACAGCCCCTGATCCTCCAGCAAAGTGGGCTGTGGGAGCCTCACTCCTCGCCCCAGGCATCAGGCGTGGTGAGGGCCAGCAGCCAGCAGAGGCACACAAGGAGTGTTCCTTTACTCGTGCTGCTGCTGCCCTTTCCTCTGTAGCGAGGAGGCCGTGTAGGGTGGCTGGGCTCTGCCGTCTCTGTCCGTTGTCTGTGGGTGAGGAACCAGTACTGTGCACGGTGGCGAAGAAGTTGAAGAGGAACCAGGGTGGGGCGGGCCCTGAGTGGTGAGAAGGTGGAGTCAGGCAAATGATTTGAAGGTACCCCTGCCGGCAGCCTGTGGTCAGTGTTGCTCGTGGAGATGGCTGCTCTGCGACTCTGGCTCCTGTCAGGCTTTGCCCCTGGTCTGAGCTGCAGGGACTGGGGCAACGCCTGCCGAGTCCCAGCCCAGAGCCGGCGGTGCGCCTGGGGCCCTCTCCTCATCCCACCTGTGGGGCTCCTTCCTCGGACTTGATGAGCGATGCCTGGGGGGGGGGGGGACTGATGTCGGCGGGTGGTTGGTTCCAGCTCACAGCTCTCTGTCCTGGGTCCCTCATGCTGGAGGGCGGCTTTCACACTGGCCTTTCCATAAGCGCCCTACTCCTCGGGCAAGTGGACCACTGCCTTTGCCCAGATGGGAGTATAAAGTGCTTGCACGGTCCCTTGCTGTTCCATCACCACGTTGTTACGTATGTGTGCTGTAGGGGTTGTGTGCGTGGGCTCTTTTTTGAGGAGCTTGTTTGAAGGTGGCCTGTGGAACTGAAGTGCATCTGGCATCCTTGGTAGAGACAGGCCGACAACACGTGGACTTGCGTTACTGTGGTGACTGGAGTCCTTTTTTCCTTCCTTTGGATGATTAGGCAAGAAATCCCCTAAAATGACTGGGCATTGGGGCTTAAGTTCTCTCCTGATGATTGTTTGTTTATGGTAACTGTGGAACTCAAAAGGGATTTAGGGTTTTCACAGAAGCCTCGGGAATAGCACGATGACGAATGAGGGCCTGTCCTGAAGTCGATTTCACCATGTCCCTTGGGATGAGGGGAGTGATGGTTGCATTAAAAATGTGTTTTGGCCTGCCTCCCCCGTAAAGGGGGTGAATACACGTTTTGGAAATAATGGCCTCTTAAGTGTATCCATTTAAAATTTTTTCTAAAATACCTCTGTGCCAGAAGCGCCAGAGAAAGGCGACGTTGAAAACGGCTTTTATGTTGCTTACACCACGTTGGCGAGCGGCGGGAACGGGGCTGAGCGGGAACCGAGGGCTGAGCGGCGGGCTTTCCTGCTCTCCGCTCTCCTGGGTGCGAAGCAGGCTTCATCCCCACTCTGAGGCCAGGGAAGGGGAGCGGGGTCTGTGCATTAAAGCTAAACATCAAGTGCAGCTGAGTGGCGTCCTCTTGCTTACAGCTCAGGGTAAAATGACTGCTACTAGTTTAAATTATTTCTTGGCCAGGGGTTTTATTAAAATTGAGCTGGATTTTTGCGGCTGGGAATATAATTACTGTTCTCACCCTGTTGGGGTTTAATCTGCTGCTCATTCTTTTGGGTGTGGGCATTAGCCACCAAAGATCTTTAAGGAAAGCCATCTTGGTCAGGGTGTCAAGGTGTGGCCCAACAGCAGTAAGCACCTCTGTGGATTTTGTCCCTATGCTGTCCTGCTGTGGCCTGAGTGGGTCCCTCCAAACCCGTTCCTGACCCCGTAAAGGTGACAGTGTTAGGAGCAGGGCTGTTGGAAGGCGTGTAAAGGCATGGGCGTGTAAAGGCATGGGTGGCGTGTGAAGGCCTGGGTGGCGGTAGTGCCTTACGGAGAGACACGCATGGGTGGCGGTAGTGCCTTACGGAGAGACACAGAGAGCTCGCTAGCCCCTCTGCCACCTGAGGACACAGGAGATCTCTGAGGTGGAAGAGGGCCCTCACCTGCCTATGCTGGCGCCCTGCCTCCAGGGCTGTGAGAAGTGAATTTGTTGCTTGTAAGCTCCCTAGTCAGTCATATTTTGTGATAGCAGCCTGAACGGACTAAGACACAAACCCAGGAAAGTGTCCCAGCCCTCAGCTGATGGCGAGAAAAACAGTACAGCCAGGAGCACGCCTTACTGTGCCGCCGAGCAGGTACTCTGTTGAGCCGTCAGTAGCCATCATTTTAGTAGAAGTTGCTGTATTGAGAATGGAAGTATGAGAGGAGACAGTTAACTTTAAAAAGGAAAAACTACTTGATTCTAGATGAGGGAGTTGAGTGTATTGTAATATATGTGAGCGATAGTATGTGTCAGACCAAAGACCTCTTGAATACAGTGGAGAATTTCAGAGCATGCAAGAAACTTCTGTGTAGCCAAAGGAGTACATTTGCAGGGGACGGCATCAGGATAAGTGGTGTCCAGTAGAAGATGAGGAAAAGTGTAGGAGGGGGTGAGAACGGAGGGTGAAACTCAGGAGCTGGATTTCTCGTTTCGTTTCGTTTCGTTTTGTTTTGGCCACGCCGCGCTGCTTGTGGGATCTTAGTCCCCTGACCGGGGGTCAAACCTGTGCCCTCAACAGTGAGAGTGTGGAGTCCCAGCCGCTGGACCGCCAGGGAAATCCCAGGGGCTGGGCTTTAAAAGAGGCACTATTCTTCGTTTTTAATGTTGAGATGAAACTTGTTAGAATGATTTTAACTTAGCTCCAGAATTACCTAAAAAGCAACCGATTCTCTTATTTCTGTGAAGAGAAAAGCCCCTCTGTGGCGTTCGGCCCATACAGGGTAGGATGGTCACTGCCCCACTTGATTTTCATGGCTTCAAGTTTAAAACCTTCTCGGTCATAGCATTTCCACGCGGCGTAGGCAGTGAAGACAGGCAGATTGCACACGTGGGCTTAGAGCAGTGTGTGAACTTGAGGGGTGTCTAGCCTGGAAATGCTGGGGAGGAAGGACGCAGGCCTCAGCGAGGCCTCACTCTGTCCTGTAGGAGCTGTACGCCGAGATGGGCCTGCGGGGAAGTGTGAGCTGGGCCCATCTCCACGGGAGCTGGATTCTGGAGAGAACTAGTAAAGTTTCTTCATACTAGTGAGTCTCAAAACTTTTAAAACATAGACTGC